GAACTTATGAGGAATCCCATAGCTATGGGAAGTTGCTCCCTCTTTGGCAGATCCCCACATACTCCTAGATGTGAGTAACATTTACTTGTTAAATGTTTTTATTTCTTTCCTTTGTACCCACCAACTTTGAGGCTGCTGTTGATTTCTCTCCATCCAGTCAGATATTTTTGTTGTTGTTCTTTCTGGCTGTCTTCTGTTGTTGAACCCTTTGCCTGCTTAATTGCTTCAGGGTAGAGTGATTTCTCAGATTGCCTCAACTTTTCCATTAACAAGAATATCAGCCCATATTTATGAGACATAATTAATTGATACCAGCTTCAAAGAAGGAAGCTAACTTAGCCTTGACCTTTCAGATCACCAGAACGTTTTTGTCACCAGGGCATTGTGCAAATTGGGAAATAAATAAAAGTGTCCTTTTTAAGCAGATGAAGTACAAAAAGTTTCTCTTCAGGTGGATGAATTTTTAAAAATGTCCCTTTTCCATTGGTGAGGAAGCCTGGGGACCTGGCCTGAACGGGCACTGGATTTTAGACCCTCCTACTGGTGTTTAGGGTACAACCACATAAATGCTTGCAGCAGCTGGGGTTGCCATACCACCTGTATTTACAACAGACAGACAAACAAACAAACAAAAAACCCATAGACTTTGTGGCTGCTGCTTTGCTTCACAATTTCCAAATTTTGGGTCTCGGAATTCTTAAGACTACACTCTCCATACCAGTTACTTCTTGTTTTGTTTCCATGCCTACCCATTTTTTGATAGCTCTATTGAAGTGTAATTTACATACCATAATATTTATCCCATTGTCAGAATTCAGTTCAATGATTTTTAATAAACTTCAAGCTTGTACAAATATTGCTACAGCCTAGTTCTAGGACATTTCCATCACCCTAGTTCTAGGACATTTCCTTTGTGCCCATTTGTAATCAGTTCCTGCTCCCATCCCCAGCCCCAGGGAATCATTGATCTGCTTTCTATCTCTGTAGATTTGCCTTTTCTGGAAATGTCACATAAATGGGATCATATCTTCCTTTTGTTTCTTTGTCCTGCTGATCTAATAGGGGTTCTAATCAGTGCTCATTTGCAACAGCTGATTGTTAGTCGTCCACTTCTATTGCTACTACAAACCCTTACTCCTCACCCCTTTCTTTCCATTCTGCCTCATCATTCAAACGTGCTCTTTTATCTCCCATCTTAGAACACTCTCCCTTGTCCAACATTGCCTCCAGCCACCATGCTATTTCCTGGGCCATTTCTGAGCCCAACTTCTCAAGATTTGACTTCATGTATTCATTGCACTCTCTCCTGTGAACCCTCCTTTTTTGTTTTTGTTTTTATCTTTTTAATATAATATTTTATATGAATAAAAGAACACTAAAAAGAATGATGTGTATATGCAAGCTTTAAGGCATAGCCATATAATGACTACCTAACACCTGTGACACTCCCCTTCTACCAGTGTCACAGACAATGGAACCCATGACTCAAAGTATCTAAAATCTCTTACTCATCTCTACAATTATTTTTGGTCATCTTTGGTCATTTCTAGTCACTTTAATTACACTTTTAAATAAGGTATCTGGGCTAAATTGTCTTTGAAATCCATTACATTGATAAAATTCTCTGATTACTAATGAGAGATTAAATTTTTGTTTAGAAAGCATTACAGAAGATTTGTGGCTTGCATTGTTGAATATTACTGTAATTTATTTTATTATGAAGCCTTGGCTGAGAGCATGACATACAGTTATAACATCATTTCCACAGGAAATTTTTTCTACTTTGTATTAATTTGCTTCAGATGCTGTTGTTGTTTTCCTGAATTTTTGAAACTGAAAGCTAGACTTCCTGTAATGTTCTTCCCCTCCTTTAAACTTGGGATGGAATTCACTTAACCAGTGCCCCACAGGAGGCATGGATGTCAGTTATCATTACAACTTAATACTGATTACCACTTAAATATTTAATTAATGTAATACTTGACACTTAGGGAGAAGCTATTTATAATCATCAAAACCAGGCCTTTGTTTTCTTCTTTTATGCCTGGTGTTTAGAGCATTCCTGTTGTAACATAGGTTGGGAATGGGCTTGCATAAAATTGAAAAACACCCCCCTCCAACACCTACCTCAAAACAGAAAGAGTTGCATAGAATATTGATTAGTGATGGATATTTAAAATATTTGTAATCACACTGGTTGATGTTCTAAACTATATTTTTATGAGCATTCATTGCATTTTTAGAAGTTTGAAATATTTTCTTTTTTTATTTATTTTTTTTATTGAATCAAAATGGATTATACATATTTTGGGGGTTCAACACTGAGATATGTTGATCAAATCAATATTACTAGCATATATATTGTTATAAATCATAACTGCTCTTTTTACCCCTTGTCCAATCTCTCCCCATTCCCCTCTCCTCTATAATTACCCTAGATTTCTTCTCTCCTTCTGAAAGAATAATGGTTACTCTGTTGATTTGTTGCCTAGATGATCTGTCCAATGCTGAGAGGTGCGACAGGTCGCCCAATATTATTATAGAGCAGATGCTGCTTCTGTCACTCTGGAATGGGCTTTGTGGAGAGAGACATCCTCTTCCTTTCTTTATCTCTGCTGGTGACTCTCCTTGTGTTAATGCACTCCAGTGGCTGGCGGACCCTCTGTGTGGTGGTTGTGGCATCTAGCCACTTTCACGGCAGCCATGGTTATTGTGGTGGCTGTGGTGGGCCACCCACATGGAGGTGATGTTTTGGCATGCTCCTTGGTGCTGGCAGTGTGCCTGGTTGTGGGTTGTATCTGGACATGCATCGGGTCTCCGGGCGAGCCCCAGGGCACTGGCACAGTGTGCCTGGTCATGAGAGGGGGATCTGGTCCCCTTCTCCATGCATTGGGTCCCCAGGTGGGCCCTGAGGTGCTGGTGTGGTGTGCCTGGTTGTGGGAGGGGAGTCCAGTCCCCTTCTCCATGCCTCAGGTCCCCAGGCAGGCCCTGAGGCACTGGTGTGGTGTACCTGGTTGTGGGAGGGGAATCTGGTCCCCTTCTCCATGCCTCAGGTCCCCAGTTGTGGGAGGGGGGTCTGGTCTCCAGATCCATGCCCCAAGCCCCAGGGTGTGGCCATGAGGTGCTTGCGGTGTGCCTGGTTATGGGGGGCAGGTCCGGTCCCTGGTTCCATACCTTGGGTCACTGGGCATGCCCTGATGAACTGGCACAGCGTGCCTGGTTGTGGGAGGGGGTTCCGGTCCCCTTCTCCATGCCTCAGGTCCCAGGGCAGGCCCCATGGTGCTGGTGCGGTGTGCCTGATTCTGGGAGGGGGATCCAGTCCCCTTCTTCATGCCTCGGGTCCCCAGGTGGGCCATGAGGTGCTGGCATGTTGTGCCTGGTTGTGGGAAAGGGGTCTGGTACCCTTCTCCATGCCCTGGGTGAGCCCCAGGGTGCTGGCATGGTGTGCCTGGTTGTGGGAGGGGGGGTCTGTTTCCCTTCTCCATGACTCGAGCCCTCTGGTGGGGCCCGAGGTGCTGGCGTGGCGTGCTTGGTTGTGGGAGGGGCGTCTGGTACCTGGCTCCATGCCTTTGGTCACTGGGTGGGTCCCATGGTGCTGGCGCAGTGTGCCTGGTTGTGGGAGGTGGGTCTGGTCCCCTTCTCTATGACTCGATGCCATTAAAACAATAGTGTGTAAAAGCAGACATTCGTTTTTCTTGGACCCTTATTTTACTTCATGAATGCACTCTAGGAAATATGGTGTCTTTTTAAATCAGTTCCAAGTAGATCAAAAGTGGCTGACCATTTTCCTGTGGAGCTGGTATAAGTCTGACAGGAAAACAATGGGAAGATGATCTCTTCTCCCCCATAGGATAGGCCAAAGAGAGAACAGAGCCCAGTTGAGAGTTGTGTGTTCACATGAAAGATACGTGCCAGCTAAGGGTATTCTCGGCTCCTTACTTAGTCAGTCTCTGCCATTAGGAAACTCACATATTCTCAGTTTTTACTCTGAAAATGCCTTATGCTTATGGCTTTAGATTCTGTAAAACTAAATCTATTTGAACAAAGTTGTTGTGCTTTTTCTTCTACCTAAAATTAAAAGAAACCATCAAGCCTGTCTTCTATTTGGGTGAGTGAGTGAAGATTTACTGACTCCACAAATGGACTCTACAGAGGGGATGTATTGTCTCATGGGCCTGTGAAACATCTTATAGGTGTGCCTATTTTGAAATACATTCCACTGATTAGTGAGGCTGTAGATCACCAGATTGTCTGATTCCTCCTTGTTCACTTAGAACTTTAATTAGTTTGCTCCGCCCTTATTTACAATACCAATTGCCTTACAGAAACCTTTCTTTAATTTCAGGCTCCTTTTTCAGTTGCCACAAATTCTGAAATAACAAGATTCCTTTCACTGAGGTTTAATTTATATTAGTCTTACACCTTACTCATCATTGCATTTGGTTTAAAATGATAAGAAAAATTAGTCTGACTTCTTTATTACATGGCTTTTGATGGGATTTTATTAAAATCTTAACTGCTTTAGATAAAGACTAAAAAACATTTCTTCATGAACTACAGAGTGCAGTTCAGATCAGTGGTAATAGTCAAAGATAAAGTTTGGTTTTATAGATTAACTCTCTTCTATTAAACGTGATTGTCAGCCTGAAATACTTAAGAATTTACTTAATTGAGTTTTCTTAGTTGTGGAAGAGAAAACAATGATGTTTTAAATTTTAAAAAATGTTCAGAGGTCTTATGCTTTCAATTCTTCAAAGTGTGTGTACGCCTAAAAGGCATTTCTTGTGATTGTGATGCTTCTTGTTTGGATTATGACAGATGCATCAATTGTATATCACTTCGTAATGTTATTGTATTTCTGTGCTGCATTTTTCCCATTTAAGCTATAAAACCTTCAAGATGAACAGAGAGGACAGTGACTATAGTCTCTCCTCAAGGCCGTCATGAAGGCTGATGTTTTGTATGAGTAAGAATTTCTGTGTTTCATTTCACAGGTGGGGAGCATTAAGCGGGAAATGACCTTCACATTTCAATCAGAGGACTTAAAACGTGACTCTAGTAAAAAAATGTCTCTTCAACACTTGTTCCCCTTGGCCGTGGGGGAAGATATGAAAACAGCAGACACCAAAAAAGCCAGCTGGGTCCTTGACCATGAAAAAGAAAACACTCGCTCCATCTGTCTTCTTGAGCAAAAACGAAAAGTTGTTTCTTCCAGTATCGATGTTCCTCCAGCAAGGTAAGGGAACATTAGATCATATATGTGTCTGCCCTAGGAAGTTGGTGGAGCTCATGCACAATCTCTGCCATATCACTCTTCAGTTCGTAGACTTACAAAGCGTTTTCTGCCGAAACTTTTTTTCTGTTGCTTGCATGGTGGCCCTGCTCTTCAGAACTGCCTTTAAACCTGCTGTATTTGGAACTACTGTAGCTCTAGAAAAGAATGTTCTATTAGATTTTGGTAAATGAATAATAAAGAGCAAAAGAATAAATGCAAAAAGAAATAGAAGGAATCATGAAATGTAGGACAGAACATAGCCACTTCAATGCAAGTATCCTCTTTTGGTCAGTTGGCAGACTGTGGCTGCAGGCCAAATTCAGCTACTGACCTGTTTTTGTGTGGCCTGCAAGGTGGGCATGGTTTTACATTCTTAAAGGGTTAAAAAAAAAAAAAGAAAAGAAAAATACATGACAACCTTAGATGGCCTGCAAAGCCTAAAATATGTATTTTTAGAAAGTTTGGTGATTCTTTGTTTATATCATGGTGATCTTTTAAGACAAATCTGCCTTAAAATTTGGCCAAGAGGGTTTATCTGAAATAAGAAAAGGCCTTTATCGCATTATAATTTTATTTAAGCCACATGTGGTAGCACTGAACCAAAGGACAATATTACGGCAAAATGACAATGGAGCAGTAGTACAATGTATACGTTATACCTGTTACTTATTTTCTTGCTTATCATTTGTCTCAGTTAGGCAGGGATTTTAGTCCATTTTGTTCATGATGTATCTCTAGGACTAGAACAATGTTTAATTATGTTCTGTGGACTCAATAAATATTTGTTAGATGAAGGAAAGGAAGGAAATTCTGTAGCATAAAAGGTTGCTTATTTTTAATATGCATACATATTTTGTTGCCAAAAATCATTTATGATGAAACTTTATAAGCAATTGTTTGAGAAATCCTGCATTTTTCATGCCGCTAACTAGGAAAACAGTATCTTTGAAAAAGAAATGAATGTTTCTTTCTACCTGTTGCCTTTTTATTATTAGAATTTCATTTCTTTCCATGTTAAAGCAAAAGTACCTTCTCTGGAAAATTACATATTATTCTGTCCTGCTACCAAATTTGTCAGACTTTCTAAAATTATAGGCCTTTTTGTTTGCCTTAATCTTTAATTGGAAATTTTCGTATATTTATTACTTCTGTTTAACTACTTGGACTTATTTGCTTTTCTACTTTTTTCATATAAAGCACATGTTAAATTATTTCGGATTAGTGTCTTTTACTGTGGCTTTGTTGTGAAATGTTTTACCACGCCTTGAAGCTGGTAGGCACCTCAATTCATATCTGTTATTTGGTTGACTCATAGGAAAAATGACATGGTAACAATTTGAAAAGTCAAGAGCTATGCTTTTATTTTCTTCCTAAGCTTGCATAGCAAAAATTAGACTTCCCAGTGTCAGATAGTTTAGTGCCAACTTGCAATTCTATAGGACCTACTCTACATAAAATTTTCATTAGACCATTGTATATGTTAAAAGACCTGGAATTAATCATTTCAAATTGCCATAGATTGTTTTAGGTATACCTTTATTCTTTAATTTCACCCCACTTACAGTAGTTTCTGGGGAAAATAATGAAAAGGGGTGGAAGGAAAATGTTTTCTGACTTCTCTGAATATTGTGGAGTAATTTTCCACTTTCTCAAATTTGCTGAATGTACTTAAAAGTACATGAGTCAAGCCAATGTTATTGTGAGATTCTTAAACAGTGTAGGGAAATTAATTAGGTTTTAAATCCATTAATGAACAGCAAAAAGTCCCTAATGACAAGGAATAATTTAGATGTATTAATCTATTATAGGAAATACTACTTAAAGCCTCACTGGGGTCTACACTAACGCACTTGTTTTCATCGCTGTAGTAAAAGAATTTAAAATCATCACAAATAGGAGGGTACTTCATAAAGTTTGTGGAAAAGTAGAATTAAAAGATAATACAAATCCTTCCGTGAACTTTTTGAAGTACTCTTTTCTTTCTGTTTATTAAGGAGAAGTGTAATTATATCTATTGGCAGTATACAAGTGAGCTTTGAGTAAATCTACAGTATAATGAAATGTATTGGTATAAAAAATCTATGTATCTATATCTTATCAAATATATATTATGTATAATCAATATTTGTATGTATGTACGTGTGTCTGTATGTGTGTATCTATCCACATGATTATTGTGGTTTATTCTCCTAAATCCAGATATTATGTTTTGGCCAGTTCTTAGAGAGGCTGGATAACCATTTTAGGCCATTTAGGAATTTTAGAATTCCTCAACAGTTTAAAATCAGTTCCCTGTAATGTTTCTCACTTTTGTTCCTTATTCTCAGAGTAGCTAAGAACTTTACTCACTGTGGTGTGTAAAATGAAACTTGAAGTTTACTTTCTTCTTTTTTTCTTTTATTGAAGCATAATTGATTTTACATATCTGTGGGGTACAGTGTTGAATATCAGTACCTGTGTTCAATATGTGATGTTCAGATTGAGATAATCACTATAGTTATCATTGCACAATGTAATCATTTTTTGTGGCCTTTTACCAATTTCTCACTAATCACCTTCCCTTCCCCCTTTCCCTCCTCTAGTGACCTCAATTCCATAGTTCCGTCACTACTTTTGAAACGAAAATCAACTACATTGTATATTGATAAATTAAAATAAAATTTTTTTAAAGTTCAGGAATTATTGTGATTGATGTATCTTTCTTTCTTTTTTTAATTTATTTTTAATTTTCTTAGCTCCCACTTATGAGTGAGGATATGCAGTATTTTTCTGTGCCAAGCTTATTTCACTTAACATAATTTTCTCTAAGTTCATCCATGTTGCTGCGAATGGCAGAATTTCATTCTTTTTTGTGGCAGAGTAATATTCCATTGAGTATATATATAACATTTTCCTTACCCAGTCATCTGTCGATGGACATTTAAGTTGATTCCCACTCTTGGCTATTGTAAATAGAGCTGCAGTAAACATGGGAATGCAGGTGTCCCTTCATCATGGTGATTTCCATTCCTTTGGGTATATACCCAGCAGTGGGATTGCTGAATCATATGGCAGTTGTATCTGCAGTTGTTTTCCACAATGGCTGCACCAATTTACAGTCCAACCAACAATGTAGGAGGGTTCCCTTTTCTTCACATCCTCATCAGCATTTGTTATTCTCTCTTTTTTGATAATAGCCAGTCTAACTGGGGTGAGATGGTATCTCAGTGTGGTTTTGATTTGCATTTCCCTGATACTTAGTGATGTTGAGCATTTTTCATGTGTCTGTTGGCCATCCATACATGTTCCTTTGAGAAATGCCTATTCCACTCCTTAGCCCATTTTTTAATCAGGTCATTTTTCTACTGTTAAGTTATTTGAGTTGCTTGTATATTTCAGGTATTAGTCCTTTCTTGGATGCATAGTTTGCAAATATTTTCTCCCGTTCTGTAGGTTGTCTTTTCATTCTGTTAATTGTTTCTTTGCTGTGCAGAAGCCTTTTAGTTTGATATAAACCCATTTGTTTATTTCTTCTTTGGTTGCCTGTGTTTGGGGGGTCTTATTCATAAAGTTTTTGCTTAGTCCTACTTCCTGAAGTGTTTCCTCTGTGTTTTCTCTTGGGAGGTTTATAGTTTTGGGTCTTATGTTTAAGTATTTAACCCATTTTGAGTTGATTTTGGTATATGGTGAGAGGTACAGGTCTGGTTTCATTCTTCTACATATGAATGTCCAGTTTTTCTAGCACCATTTGTTGAAGAGGCAGTACTTTCCCCAATGTTTGTTCTTGGTGCCTTTGCCAAAGATCAGTTGACTGTAAGTGGGTTGATTCCTGGGTACTCCATTCTGTTCCATTGGTCTGAGTGTCTCTTCTTATGCCACTACTATGCTCTTTTGGTTACTACAGCTTTGTAGTATAATTTGAAGTCAGGTGTAGTATTATGCCTCCAACTTTATTATTATTATTATTACTAGTAGTAGTAGTCGTCATCGTCGTCGTCGTCGTCGTAGTAGTAGTAGTATTTTGCTCAGGATTGCTTTGGCTATTCAGGTTTTTTTATTGTTCCATATGAATTTTAGGATTGTTTTTTCTATTTCTATTAAGAATGTCATTGATATTTTAATGGAGATTGCACTGAATCCATAGATTGCTTTGGGTAGTATGGATATTGTCACAATGTTTGTTTTTCCAATCCAAGAGCATGGAATGTCTTTCCATCTTTTGTGTCATCTTTAATTTCTTTCAGTGGTGATTTGTAGTTCTCATTGCAGAGATCTTTCACCTCCTTGGTTAAATTGATTCCTAGGTTTATTTTGTCTTTTGTTTTTCTTTCCTTGTTTTTTTTTTTTTTGGCATGTGTGTGTATGACTATTGTAAATGGGCTTGCTTTCTTGATTTCTTTTTCTGCTAGTTTGTTACTGGAGTATGCAAACTCTACTGATTTTTGCATGTTGATTTTGTATCCTGCAACTTTACCAAAGTTGTTTATCAGCTCTCAGAATTTCTTGGTAGAGTCTTTAGGTTTTTCCATATATAAGATTATGTCTTCTGCAAACAGGGACAGTTTGATTTCATCTTTTCTGGTCTGGATATCCTTTATTTCTCTCTTGCATGGTTGCTCTGGCTAGTACTTCCAATACTATGTTAAATAGGAGTGGTGAGAGTGGGCGCCCTTGTCTTGTTCCTGATGATATTGGCAGTGGGTTTGTCATTTATGGCTTTTATTGTGTTGAGATCCTTTCCTTCTATACCTAATTTGCTAAGAGTTTTTAATCATGAAGGGATGTTGAATTTTGTCAAATGCTTTTTCTGCATCTGTTGAGATAATCATGATTTTTGTCTTTGAGTTTCTCGATGTGGTGTATCACATTATTGACTTGCCTATGTTGAACCATCTTTGCATCCCATTCATCCCAAGATGAATCCCACTTGATCATGGTGTATAATTTGTTTGATAAGTTGCTGTATTCTGAATGCTAGTATT